TACACCTTACTAAAGGAAAGTTTTATTATGAATTTATAGTCTGTATTATGCAAATAGATGGATATCTTTTCCATCATGTATGGAGTTGTAGTTATAAAAATTAGTAAGCAAATACTCCAGTCGCCCCTGTACCGAATATGCTGTCTGACACTGCGAGACAGATTCGAACTACTGTATCTATCGTCAGGTCGAGACGGACGGGGGAGGGAGGAGCAGTTCTAAAGTAGCAGTAGTGGCGACAGGAACAAACCTTTACAGCGGGAATCATTTAATTTACCACCAAGTAAGGAAACTAAACCTCCAAGTCTCACAGCTAAGTCTAACCTTATACCTGATATCTTTCTTGCTTGGCCAGATGGGGAGTTGATAAGGTGGGTTAATTAGGAGACAAGAGGTGGCCAGTACAGTGCAGTGGAAGCAATCTGATGAAGCGCCGTATCGGTATGCAATATGGACACTCGAAGGGATAAGTGATTATGTTTAATTATGTATACAGTTTGTAGTCAGTAACTTCTCCGATGCAAAGTGACATGTTGAAAATGTTACATAATATTAATAAGTTGTTTCACTTAATTCATACGGCTCCGTGAGATAACAACCAGGTCTAGTCCACAACCGTTAATATACTTTAATGCGCTGTTAACATCCCAGCCAAGAAGTTATTGAAGAACTCTGGTGGTCCTTCGTGAGCAATAACTGTCGTTCAGTAATATCGAAGGTGAGTGATTCTCAGTGCGCTGGATCCCTAGCGAATATTTTCCACACTTCCAGTAAACTAAAAACCTTCAAGATTTTTTTCAAAGTTGGTCGTTAAGTATTTGAGGAATCCTGTGTTTCTTACTTCCACCCCATCCTCTCCCTGTTCCTCTCTGAGCGTATTGAGAGAGAATATTGTCCACACAGGCGTACTAATTAACTTTACATACATACTACCGTCACTGAATTCAAGAGCAGCACCACCGCCAGCCCCGCTACTCTCCCGCGTGGGACTAAGGTGTATTTGTCCACTTTACTTGGGGAACATCGGCTTTAAAGGTTGAATTTGCTGTCAAGGTTACCGTTTGCGTGTTAATTAATCATGCGTGAATAACCCAATCTGGCGTGTGTGTGTCCGTCGCTCAGGTGTACATAATGGTAACTTGTGTTCTCTAGCATCAAGCGTTATTTTATTGTGTATGCTTGTGTGTGCGCGATGTGTGGTGTAATGCTCGCCTCGCGAAGGAGCGGACACGGGTTCGATCCCCGGGCAAGATGAAACCAGTGTTAAGTTTCTTTACCCCATTTGCCTCTGTCTAACCACCAGTAAATGGGAACCTGGATGTTAATCGATGTGCGGATCGTGTTCCGGGGTAATAGTTAGGCATTGCAGTTGGCGAGTTGTCCGGTCTTCTCGGACTATTCCTTGACACTGGGTCATGCAGCTCGTTAACTCATGGTGTGGTTGTTGTGTTGGCGACAGCTTCTACACCATAAATTTACGCCTAGGTGGCCATCCTCGTTACATGAGGGGCAACCATTGTGTATGTGTTTGGAAGGAAACGCGTTTCTGAGAAGAGAGAGAATCTAGTAATAATTTGACAGAAAAATTAATTGAGGGGACGATATAGTAAGAGACTATTATTTTTCTCACCTTTTTCAGGGTAGTTTTCACAAGTAGTCCTTTCTTCACACACACATCACCACCGTCTATCATCTTTACAAAACAATTTATTAAGCACCTATAGTACCCTAGTTTTTCTTTCATTTGCTATGAATATTTTTAAAGTCGCAAACTTCATCAGTGGGTGAGGAGGGGGTGGAGGGAGGAGAGGGGGCGATGTGCAATTTTACGCCTGATAGTAAGTTGTAAAAGAGCGATCATTACCGGTCCTTGATCCAGTGTTTCGGGGAAAATCTTCAACAACATAGCCCTGGAGCCTAAGATAATACCACCACTAAATGGAGCGCCCCGACAGGTTGAGATATACACTGGGAGGAGTAATTGCCGTGGGGAGAGGAGGAGATGTGTTATATTTCCCTCCTTCGTGCGCCGCGTTACACCCGTCTCACCTTACTCTGGACTCCCATCCATCGACCTATTCCCTTGGGTGAGATTTTATACTAGTTGGTTGAGGTTTTCACCGCCAGTATAACTGCTGCTGTTTGGTGTATATATATATATATATATATATATATATATATATATATATATATATATATATATATATATATATATATATATATATATATATATATATATATATATATATATATATATATTCATAGTGAGATCCATACTTATTTGAAAGTATATTTACTCTGTATGTCATGAGGTTTAGGGAAATTGTAAGTTAACGGTGATATCAACATATTTCAGATTTTTCGAAAATTTTAGCTGAAATGGATAGTATGAGGAATAGCCTAACCTAATTTAAGGTAATTTAACCAGGGTAAAGTTTGGTTACAAACAATTAAGGACATTTTAAGTAAAACAAAGTCACCTCAACTGTATATGCATTATTTTGTATAAAGTTTTAAACTTATACCGGGTACTTATTTCGCAGAACAGTCCTTTGTGCTTTACTGCTTAATCGAGCTATAATCTATACATGATGGGAATACACGAGAGCGCTTGGAACGTTTGTGCATCATTTACCTTCCTGCCCATACAGTACGTCCATGCCTGTTTCCTTAACTATTATACATTTTCCCTTGGTGTAACGCTGCAGAAGAAACTTAATGAGCAAAGTCTATATATATTTTTTTTGGGTGGACAGCTTTATTTATCATGAGCAGACCTTGTCCTCAGAGGGGCCGTGTGTTGTGTGTAAATAAAAAAAGCTGAGTAAAAAGAATTAATGCCAGCGTGTCTATACGAAAAATCATAAAAAACGACATATACATCAAGACATACATTTCGGCTTTTCTGTCGGCAAATTTAATTCGCTTATAATATATAATCGTCTCCTCTTTCATACTGTATTTCTCCAGCCTGCTTCTTGACTCCTCTATCGCTGAAGTCAGTATTAGCAGCATATATCACTGGATAAAAGACCCTACTCATTACTGGCTGGAAAAAACACGGATACGTTACTGGAAGAACTGCACACACTGCTGGAACAAAAAGCAACACTGTCCACATTACTAGGGGGAAAGACTTCACACATTATTATTAAACCTGTTGGTCTTTTCTCTGGGGGTTGTGTTTCGCACTTAATGTAGGTTCTTCTGTCCAGTAATTGTAAACACTCGATTGAACGGTACTGTACGTCTGTCAATGAAATAAACTTATAACTTACGGACAACTGCCACTTATAGGATAGCCCACCACCACTACCAGCACATGATCTACCACAGCTATCACTACCCACAGGGCCACCTACCACCACTACCACTACCCACAGGGCCACCTACCACCACTACCCACAGGGCCACCTACGACCACTACCACTACTCATCGAGCCACCTACCACCAACCACAGGGGCCGCCCACCAGCCTGTCAGATCACGAAGCATCATAAAGAAGCACAAGTGACGTGGAGGGCGGAGGTAGAGTTAGTAATTGACACACTGAGTGACTCGCTGCCGCCCATCCTTAACAACACTAGGCTGACACTTGCCCTATTTTACACTAAAATTTGCATTCCGCTTTGTAGTGAATAAACAGATAGGTGAATAAGTGCACAAACAGATAAATGGGCACATAACTGTAGATGAACAAATACTTAGATGGTTAATTTAAAATATAATAAATTATAGATGTTTAGATAAATAAATCATAATTGAAACTTAAGAAAGTTTCATCATTTAGAACTACATGGCCGACTTTACTTAGATAACAAAATTGGGTTAACATTCGTCCATTGGCTGTCGGTAAGTTTTCAATATTACAGACACAAAGAATGTTAATTGAGTATTTCTTAAATTTTCATATTTTTTTTAAACCGTCAATTTGCGCAATAAATGAAGGTTAAATTTGAGTACAATACCATAATACACAAACTATTCTCCTACCAGAACCTGACAAGAACCAATGGATGAATATTTACCCAAAATTAAGATCCACTAATGATTCACCCGCCCTCTTAGCTTATTTCACACCATAATTTACCACAACGCTAACATAAACTAACCCCCCCCCCCCCACAAATAACGTTAGGTTGGTCTTAGGTGAAATAAGCTGGAGTAAGAGGGGGGGGGGGGGCAAGAATCTTCAGGTGATCCCAAAACTGTTAATCAACTTTGACACTGACCGACAAAAACTATTATTTTATTTTCCTTTATTTTTTTTATTTTTTTTACGTGTTTATATATTTGTTTTTACTTATTTCTTGCTCTTCACGTGTCGGAACCCACGCACTTCCGTAATTGGTCGAGATTCCTGCTATTCTTCGTAATCTTATTGGGTGATATATAGTGTAAGTTGTGACGTTGTTAACAGTTTCTTGGCGTGATTGGTTGAGTCTGTAATATCCCACCTGGTTAATTGCAGTGAATAAAAAATAAATAAAAATCTTGCCGGTGAATATATTTACTCAATGTCTTCTATCCAGGAATTAAACCCAAATTTATAATACAATTTCAAGATTTAGCTAAACTTTCTTGTGGTCGGTAGCCGAGATTTGTCTTATAACTTGTAATAACTGAAAATCATTAATTATTATTTAAAACCGAGACATGAAAAAAATATATTACTACTTTTTGACGTAAATTGATACTTGTGATTTTTGTCTTTTGATAATATTTTTTTATTCAACTCGTTATCCCATTAGTGATATATGAACAGTTACTGAGTATATGAAAGTACTGTAATGTGTGAAATTTGAGTTTTAATTGGAAGAAGGTAAGAAGGATTGTGGTTTTATAATAAATTTTTACCAATCTTTTTTCTTCATTGTTATTAAGGAATAATTTGTTTCACTAAGCACTGATGCCGGATATTGCCAAGGGTCAAATAAGGAAGTTGATGGGAGACTCAACAAAACAGAAGGACCACAAGTAAACTCACCGTGTTTAGTAAATGTTTCAATGACATGGAGTGGAGAAAAAAAAGACATTGAGAATAATAAAGTTTTGATTACGTCAGCTGGTTAGATGTAAACAAAAGACATTCTAAACTAAAATAAAAAATCACTACAATATAATTTAAAATAAAACTCAACAAATAAGATCTTTAACCACTTACATACCAGATTATTTTATAGGCTATATAAAATTTATTAAAAACTAAGAAAGATACATTTATCAATTATAAAGTAAAATTTAAAAGGCGCTTCCGAGTTTTAACAATATTTGCACTGACTCATATTTAATAACTCTTTTAACTGCATAGAATCTAATAATTCTTACATATTCAACTTAGTTTTGATAAATGAAGATTATTTGCAGTCGTATCACAGCATTGATATATATATATTTATTTATCTGTATTCAAATATTGTTCTTGAAATCATATGAAAACCTTTATATATGTTTGAGTGTGTCTTAAGTGTATGTTGGTCACCTCTTGAGTGTGTTCTTGTTCACCTCTTGAGTGTTCTTGTTCACCTCTTGAGAGTGTTCTTGTTCACCTCTTGAGTGTGTTCTTGTTCACCTCTTGAGTGTGTTCTTGTTCACCTCTTGAGTGTTTATTAAGTAATTGCTTCGTCACCTCTTCACTTTGTTACCTGTGAGTTCGGAAATAATTAAAAAGTTGTAGGTGTACTCATATGGCACCAACATAAACATTTAGCACCAGTATAAACATCAGGCATATTAACTTAAATGTACTTTAGATTCCTGGTGAGGTAGATAGATAGATAGACATAACATTAAATATTTTGAAGGAATGACATATATGGTTGAAATTATGGGCCCAACTCTAAACCCTGCCCCCCATCCCCACCTTTACTACCCCCCACTTTTACTACCCCCCACAATACCTTTTTTCCCCACCTCAACTTTTTTTCCCAGGGTGTTCTCAAGTTTCCCAGTCAGTAATTGTTTGTCCGTCTCCCTCAATCACCCCTGGGAAAAGAAAACAAACAACCCCTGTACCCCTTAGCCTGATGCCGCTAATCCTCTTTCTTCTTCCTACGTCTTCCTCCTACGTCTTCCTCCTCCTACTTATTTTCCTTTTTTTTTAGTCTTCCTGCTCTTCTTCTTCTCCCTCCTTCTTATCCTTCTATTTTCCGTTCCTTTCTTTATCCTGCTAACCCACCCCGGCACCCCACCCCGGCACCCCACCCCGGCCTCCTATCTTCTCTTCCCTTACCACCACCACATCACCTCTTTCTTTTACCTTCTTCTCTCCTTCTACCACCACCACCGCCTCCTCTTCCTCTTAAATTTCTTTTCCAAACTCCCCCATCACCACCCCTCTCCTTCCTCTTCCAAACCCCCATCAACCACCCCTTCCCCTCTTCTTCCCCCTCACCTTCCTCCTCTTCTTCCCCTCACCTTCCTCCTCCTCCATACCCTCACCACCTCACCTATCCATCCAGAGGTTGGCACTTCTTGCAGGTATCCATCTCCTTGGCATAACGCTCCACCTGTATGGTCGACTTGCACACGTGGTAGTGACTTCGTATTAGCTTCTGCGCCTGCTCCAGTACCGTCTCGGCCTCGAAGCTCTGATCTGAAGGAAAGGAGAGAGAGTGAGATAGATAGATAGAGAGAGAGAGAGAGAGAGAGAGAGAGAGAGGTAGTTGGTTAGGTTAGGTTGATGATTTAGCTCCTCTGTGTAAGATAACAACCACTTGAGTACGATGATTTAACCCTTTAAAGTATGATAACCTTATCCATTGAATAACATGACGTTGTACTCTGGAGGATTTAAGTCCTCGTACTCAAGAGGTTTTTATCTTACTCAGGGACTAAATCGTACTCAAGTGGTTATCTTACTCAGGGGGCGAAATCATCGTACTCAGGGACTAAATCATCGTACTCAAGGGGCTAAGTATAAGACTGAGTTATGGTGACGAGGACTTGATATTGACATAGTGATGGTAGGAGTAAGTGTTGGTTGTTTTTGAAAGTGCTTCTCTCTCTCTCTCTCTCTCTCTCTCTCTCTCTCTCTCTCTCCAGATAGGTCAGACACGCTCATAAAATCTGAAACATCAACAAATATTAAAAAAAAAGTTATTGAATAAAAGAATAGACAGGAGAGAAAAGACTATTATTTATTGTGTTAATTTACTTCAACATTTACAAATTAAACAAAATTGCCAGAATGTGTCGTCGAAGGAGGAGGAGGCAGGGGAAATGGTGGGTGTTGGCGCGAGAGTAAATTAAAGTAGATTTACTCTGCAACAACCTGACTCGAATGCAATTAATTAAAACACACCTGTACAAACACGTGAAATTTTCTTCTCGTCAAAGAAAGGAGGAGGGAAATATCAATCTCCTATCAATAATGGTGGTAATATGTGCGGTGAGAGAGTGTTTACTGTATTTACAAACATAAAATACAGATATATACAGTAATTACACACAAACGCATAAAGATTCAATAGATAGCCCAACACACATATACATAAATACACACACACACACACCTATACACAAAAGCACACATACACATAAGCACACATACACATAGGCACACATACACATAGGCACACGTATACATAAATATACAAACCCATAAACACACATACCCTCTCCGTCATTAATAACAGACGTGTGTTTACCAATACTAACATCAGATCACATCCAGCACACGCCTCCAACACTCCCTGTACCTTGTAGCCCTTGATCTCCTGTAGCCCCGGCCTCTTGTAGCCCCGACCTCTTGTAGCCCCGATCTCTTGTAGCCCCGACCTCTTGTACCCCTAATTTGTAGCCCTGACCTCCTGTACCTCTGACCTCCTGTGGCTAACTAGAGAACCCTGAGGACTATCTGACATCCCCTGGTGTGGTGGGTAAGGCGATGCAGGAGGGAGGGAGTGTGTGGGGAGGGAGGGAGTTGAGGGAGTGTGTCTGGGAAGGAAAGGTGTGTGTGTGTTTGTGTTTAATAATAATTAGCGGTTTATTGAAAGAGCATGGCAACCGGAAGGCTGATATATACAAGTAACACAAGTGATACAAATATGATATTCAATAACGGTGGGGTGAAGGTCATACTACAGGGCATTTCAACATAGTGACAGTGCAAAAAGGTAAAGATTGGGTGGGAGTGAATACACTAGTTGATTACGAATTGTTGATAATGTTTACAATGGTTGGGACTGGGTTGTTCGTATAGCGATCAGTATAGGCTGGATACGGTTGTGGTGTCGAACAGCAATTAACGGACGAGGGATCTCGGGTGGAAGTAGGAGCCGGTGTCGAGGATGGTGCAGAAGCTTCTCACCAAATTTGCAGATGAGGTCGTGATGATGATCAGAGAGAGCCGAGAGGGTCAGTGTGTTGAGCGCTTCTTGATATGTGGAGTAGGAAGGAGAGAGAATAATCTTGCATGCCCTCTTTTGAACTTTTTCTAGGTGTTTCCGTTGTGTGGCATTTAGGGAGGAAGACCAGGCAGGGGAGGCATAGGTGAGCTTGAGAAGTAAGAATGTTGAGTAAACACTGAGGAGCTCGGGCGCAAGAAATCCGAGAGACTTGAGTCGGCAGAGTAGGTGGAGACGAAAACTGGAGGATTTGATAACTGTACCGACGTGTGTTTCCCAATTTAGTTTGTTATCTATTGTGACGCCGAGGAGCTTAATGGAGTCCACAACCTGGAGTGAGTTAGGGCCCAGTGGTGGAGTCGTCGGACATATTTCCAGCGAGCAGAGGTTTCTCTTAGGGCATCATTGATAAGTATAAGGAAGCAGAGCGTTCCATCTTGGTGCCTTGGGGGACGCCCTTCGGAGGCGTACGGCATGGAGTCGGTCACTAAGGCAGTCTGTAAGCCATGGTCGATAGCTTTGTTGATAATTAAATTGTGGTCGACTAGGTCAATGCTTTGGTAAAGCCAATGAAGGCGACAGCCACAGACGTCTGTATACGAGTATATAGTCGAAAAAGCTGACAAGACAGTGAATGGTGGAGGAAGTTTTCATACTGCCAAATATTTGAGGATCTATGGCGCCTGCAATATCAGCATAAGTCCAGTCAACCACGAAACCTTCACAGATTAAGCTGGGTGTGTGGAGGGGGAGTGTGTGTGTGTACGGAGGGAGGGAGAGGGAGATGAGGTAATGTACTATATGTGTGTAGAGAGAAGATGGAGTGTGTGGGGAGAGAGAGGTAATGTGTGTGGGGAGAGAGAGAGAGGTGGTGTAGAGTATCGTGAAGTTTAACCCAGCTCATACAAGCGTCAGTACCACCTCGGCCTCCTACACACGCTGAGATTTACCGCCGCCTAGTTTAACAACCTCTCACCACTAAATCAACTCCCACCTCTCGTTTACTCTTCGTTAGGGATTATTTTTTCTATTTTATCCCCCGACATGGCAGTGGTGGGAAAGGTGTGTGTGTATATACTTCCATTATCCTTGTTCAGCCTCTGTCTGTTAAGCAAGGAGGGATTTTATCTCAGATACATTTACGCAGACGGTGAAGAGGCTTAACAGATACAGACCTGGTGATAAAATATTACAAATTTATATTAACAAATAAGTCACCATAATCTGTGCTTTGGTAGCATCTGATCCTTGTTTGGTTCTGGTTAATTAATGCATTTTATGTATATTTTTTGTAAAGACAGACAGACCGATCGACCTTCTAAACAGGTTTGTACATATTGGCTACCGATATATATAAATGTCCCTCGTGATTGTACCAGACCAAAAGTATAATGTAGCCACACTAAGACACCAACTACTATATTCACCACTGTGTCGAGTTTACTGCAGATCAAGAGCCACTCTACCTGAGCATAAAGTCTGATAGGTTAGGTTAGGTTATTGGTAAGACTACGTTATTTTAAGTTAGTGTTAGATTAAGTTAAATTATATTATGTTTGGTTAGCGTTAGGGTGGTTAATCCTCAGGTGAAATACTGGGGAAATCATCAGGTATTCATGAGGCAGATATTACACCCAAGTTGTTGTGAATAATTCCGGGACATATTATCAGTTTATTGCATTATGGTCGTGGTGTTGACATCCAGCCACTCCATAACCCGGCCTTCACTAGGAACGCATAACTCGTAGAGACTTTCACAGCTTTTCCTGAAACTTATCAAAGACGATCTAGCCTCCAAAGACCTCGAGTCGGTTCAATAACAATTAGGGTCCGATTAACATTGACGATTCTGTGACCAATATTGTGTAGTTGGAATCTCATCAAAACATCGTCAATATATTAAAGTTGGGGCGGGTGTCGTCTTTACCTGGCGGTGTAGAGGACTCTGCCAATACTGAGCGACATGCTTGATCGGATTGTAAATGACGATGTGGGGAGGTCATCTGTCTCCTGAAGAAGAGCACCCCCCCCCCCGTATTTCACCTGAAGATTAACCACCCTAACGCTAACCAAACAATATAATTTAACTTAATCTAACGTTAACTTAAAATAACGTAGTCTTACCAATAACCTAACCTAACTCCCCCAGGTAGCATTAGGGTGTTTACTCATCATGTGATCCGAAAATTTTACACATTTTCAAAAGCAGTAAAAAAAAACTAGTGTTCATGCCGTCGTCTGCGTGGGTCACCGGGAACATGTTTTCTACACACTGACTATGACTGTTTCGCTTTTGACTCTGTGAAATAGTAAAATGTTGTTGATTTATTTTTTTTTTTTACAAAATGTTTTCCTTTGTTAGTGTATACAATACTGAATAATATTTCTCGTTTTCAAATACTGTGTGTGTGCATATATATATATATATATATATATATATATATATATATATATATATATATATATATATATATATATATATATATATATATATATATATATATATATATATATACACGTGTTTGTGTGTGTGCGTGTATTTGTGTGTGTGTGTGGAGTCCAGGAACTACTGTGGTGTTGTAGTTTTGGTAACATTGCATCATGTAGGGTTGTGGTACAACAGCAGGCGGGCAACTATTTACTCAGCGTCCCAGAGGCCGCTGACTATTGCGCTCGGCTCTGTTTGTCTGTTTCCTCGGTGTTCATAAAGTGTTAAATTGAAGCCCTAAAATTCTCACGGTGACTCACATTCCGGATCCATGAAACAAATAATTAAATAGGGAGATAAGTAAATAAAGGGACATGAACAGGTATGAAAATATATAGATGGATAATAGAGAGAGAGAGAGATCCGATTAATCAAGCTTACATACATGTTATTTTCTTCTGGGTTCACCTCCACTAATAAACACCTGCACCGACATAATACTTGTCAAACATCTTAACATCTTCCTTCACCACAAGTAATAAGAGGAGTATAAATAACACCTGACGTACTGTACATAAGGTGGTGACGTCCGCAGCACTAGCTTACCTCGGGTCATGAGGGACGGCAAGGGGTGATGGAGGGGTGATGGTGATGAAGGGGCGGTGGTGGTTGTGGGGTGATGATTGGATGGTGGTGGTCATGATGGGTTGATGGTGGTGATGAGATGTGGTTGTGGTGATGGGGTGTGGTGATGGGGTGTGGTGGTGGTGCTTGGTCATTCTGTTGATCTGGTCCACATCATAAACGCCTGGGATGTTGTGTTGGTGGTCAAAATCACTGTCTGTTTCACACAGTTTGTGATGTCTAACACACACACACACACACACAGCTACGATATCCCTAACGTCTCAAGTAGATATCCCTCAGGTTTTAATAGTCTTCTAAATGTTTAACCTTTAAAAGAAACAATAATAAAAATATTCAAGAATTTAATCACACCGGTAGCCAAAACTTTATTTTGTTCAAGTTTATATTTACTGAGTCCAACTTATTTCATCTGGTGATTAAATACCCTGACGCTGTCTATGTTAGGTTAGGTTAGGTTAGGTTAGGTTAACATTGAGGTAGTTTTATCATTTGGTGAAATAGACACACTAGCATAAAACAAAAGAAGCCTAACTTCACTTAATACAAATTATTCCATCACTCAAAAATGACGTGGGTTTGTTTTCCATCTCGAGGGTATAGAACATACAGTAGGGGCGACACGCTACAGCGATATATATATTACAGTATTCGATTGTTGTCTTGTGTGGCTCTGACCCTTGGGACGTTGCGTACTGTATGAAGAAGAGGCTGAGTTCAATACGTTTGCCGCGGATGGACCGTAAACATTGTGGGGAGGGTGTGGCGTGGGGAGGGTGTGGCGTGGGGAGGGTGTGGCGTGGGGAGTTAGCGATGTGGGGAATTAGTGAGACGGGAAGTAAACAAGAAAATCTCTACAATAAGGAAAACCCTGCACCACTGGGAGACAAAATTGACAAAAAAGGAGAGAGATAGAGAGAGATAGAGAAAGAGAGAGTCTGTAGGCATGAGGTGAGACATACCACTTTGGCCACGAGGGTAAATTAGAAAATGAAAATATGAGCGTCGCACCACACCCACCCACACAAGACGCAGGTGTGAAGTATTTATTCAAGTGCAAATGAAGTAATTATTACCAGCAGAAACAGACGGTAGATGTTAATTAAGACATCTAGATTGAGAAACACATACTAGGTGCAGCAAGCGTCGTTCAAGAGGACCCACCCATCTCTCCCCCCACCCACCCCCCGTCTTCTCTCTCTCTACACACACACACACACACACACACACGCACACTCACCAATCCCGAGATGGGCAGAAAGGGCGTTCTTGTCCAGTGTGAGTGACCAGATGTGGAGATTGTGGATCGTTCTCACCCCGGGCAGTCCCTCCAGGTCACTCATGAGGGCCAGGTAGTCCACGTTCCTCGGGGTGCCCTCCATCAGGACGTGTGCCAGGTCCCGCAGGATGGGTAGAGTCGTCACCACCACGATGAACCCGAACACAAAGGTCAGGATTGGATCGGCTATTTGGTACTGGGGCTGTGGAGAGAAATAGGTTGTAGTATTTGATTAGGGAAGCTGGGAGGGTTGTTGTTGATGGTGGTGGTTGTTGTGAGGTAGGCTGCGAGCGAGGGTTCTGTGGCGGTGTTATTGTTGAGTTCGTCGTTGTTGTTGTTGTTGTGGTGATGGTGGTAGTAGTAGTAGCAGCAGCATTGATTTTGTTGTGGTAGTGGTGTGAAGGAGGATGGGAGGGTTGTGTGACGGTGTTGTGTGTGTGAGAGAGAGAGAGAGAGAGAGAGAGAGAGAGAGAGAGACTGCCTAAATTTTAAACAATCGAAACTATGGTCGTGAAGTGTAATCCAGGAGGGTAAATGGGAAGGGAATGCTGGTGGATGGAGTGAGGTGATGTCTGAGAATTCGTCATGAATAAATTCCTGTCGTGGAAATTGTTGCTGTGGAAAAGCTACAGTTCATTGTGGATTATATTAACTTCTCTCAAGATAGTTTCCTTGAAGGCGACTTTATGACATGACGAGGTGTATATGCCTCTCTCTCTCTCTCTCTCTCTCTCTCTCTCTCTCTCTCTTACTCACCCAAAACTTGACAACGATGGCAGCGATGAGGACAGCGAAGGTCTGCAGTGTGTCGCCCACCACGTGAATGAGCGCTGCCCGGACGGTGATGTTGCTGCGGGCTCTCTTGTGGACCCCGTGGAAGTAACCGTGACACCCACAACCGTGTAGGATGGCGGCGATACTGGGGGTGGTGGAGGAGGGTGGTAGAGTTAGTGTTGGTGGTGGTGATGTTTGTTGGAGGTGGTGGATGTTGGTGAGTGTTGTTGTTGGTGGTGGTGGATGATGATGATGATGATGATTGTTGTTGTTGTTGTTAGTGGTGAATGTGGTGGTAGACAGACACACAAAAAGAAAAAGCTCATAAATGCATCGGTATTTGGAAGTGCCACGCTGTGTTAGTCCCGGCAGACAACACCATGGTGACGGCAGTGAGGAGTGAGGGAAGGACGATGTTGGCGAGATATGAGAAGGCGAACAGAGGAGGTGAACTTCACACACACACATATAAAAGTTTCATTAGTCTTCTTCTTTTTTTCATTCATTATCCTTGGTCGAGTATTTCAGCGTAGCGACGGAGAGAGGGTAGAAGGCAGACGTCAAGTAAAAAATCCTCGAAAATGTGGGAATATTTGGTTATTATGATGGAGAGGAGGGAGGGGGAGTAAAGGAGAATAGATAAAAAAGAGGATAAAAGGGTGGTGGTAATGAAAAAGGAGAGTAAAAGACAATAATAAAATGAGGGGAGGAAATAAGCTGATGAGTATGAGTGGCGAAGAGGCGTGAGGGATGGTGGGTGTCCCTCCCTCAGGAGTTTTTGACGGAAAATCGACATTGGAATTTGTTGCCATCAGTGTTTGTTTATAAAGGAACAAGAACACCTACATGAGTGAGTAGCCTTCACCCTCCCGTGTAAACATGTAAAAATAGTCATTGTTAAAAAAAGAAAGAAATGGAAACACCTGAAGATCAGCTCCCTCTAGATTATTATTTCACCTTTGACACACTAACGCTAACCTAAGCCCCAGGTATAGTGTTAGGGGTGTTTAATCACAACGTAAAATAAGCTGGGAGGTAATTTTCACGTGATACGAAACAAATTATCATGAACAGGACCACAGGGTCATTCGCTTGCCTGGTAGACACGAACTAATCAACTACCCTGACATCGTTTAGATTAGGTCGATGATGATGATGTTATAGTCACTGGTTCACGCGGAAGAGAAGCCAAAAATCTCACGTATTTGGCGATAAATAGCGGTCGTTTTCCAGAGATTTTATTAAACCTCCGCTGACGAATTTGTTTGTATCGGGCGAATGTCGGTCAGGGAGTCGTGAGAAGATGGGGTGGGTAGGGGGGGGGGGAGCTGCAGTGTGGACCGAGTGACTGTTTGGGTGTGTTGATGTTTTTAGAGATGAGGATACCTGTTGGAGGTGGAGTCAGTATAGTGGCTAGTTGGAGTGTTTGGAAACAGGAAGTACTGTATGTTGGGTTGTTGTGTTTGTGGATGGTTGTACTGGGAGGTGTAGGAGGGGTACTGTTGAGAGTTTGGGTGTAGAGGTGTGTTGTTTTGTGCTGTAGTGCGTTATGCTGTGGTGTGGGGTATGGTGTCATGTGTTGTGTTGTATTAGGATGTGTTATGTTATGGTGTGTTGTGTTGTGCTGTAGTGTGTTGTGGTGTGCTGTCGTGAGCTATGGTGTTGTGTTATATTGTGCTATAATGTGTTATTGTGTACTGTGGTATGCTATGCTGTGGTGTGATGTGATGTGCTGTGGTGTGATGTGATGTCCTCTGGAGTGGAAGGGATGGGGGATTCAACAGGAGACTACAGGGGTGAGTGAAGTGTTTTTTACCACAACAATAAACTGTGTCTCTCACCTCAATATAAACTAAGGAAGATTCATTGGTAAAAATGACTTAGGGAAAACATGGGATATAGGAGGTGAGATAAACGTGTGTCTTATTTCTCACCTGTTTCTCACTAGTTGTGCAGATAAAGTAGTTCTTCCATATAATGATAAATTTTGCGGGAAAACACGTAATGTGCCTTTAATATCAATCAGCAATTTTAACTGTTCTATGCAACTTTTTTTATGATACATTTCTTATTGTTTATGATAGAAATAAATTCATAAACGCAACATGCATCTAAGAAGTGATATAGGGAAATCTCTCTATTTAGGCAACACTTGCATCAGTACTGAGTGGTATAAAATAAGGGACGAAAACCCAAAATAATGCGGATCACACACTCACGAACGCTCCCTCATTGTAAACACAGCTGGCGCGTGTCGTTCCTCTTCCATTGGGGGACAATAAGCGACGACGACCCCCTTGGGAGCCCGTCACCAGGCCTCACCACGCCCTCCCCGCTCCTGCCTCTGCTTGATGGTATTTATTTCTACTTAAGAACCTTAACAGTCGCCCTCACCAGGTCGTCCATCGCTCTTGTGGCTTAATGATTGTGTCAGCAGCGCTAACAATCATCACCATCATCATGTGCACTGACAACTGCCAAGCTGTCAGATCTGGTGCATTCTTGTATTTGTCGAGGTTTACCAAATACCATGTGTCATACGCCAGACATCGGAAGTGTCATGTCATCTCAGACCTGGTGTGTCTCGGGTATAAATGTTCCCCCGGCGACAATGGCGGCGACAATGTGTTGAGAACGGTAGCCACAGACACCTTTAAAACAAATAATGAACTGGTGGTTGGGTGTGGCTGGTATACACGTCGTCTTTTTTATATGCACCCTGTTTCCTACGTCATCGAATCAGCGCCCCGATGACGGTCGCTTAGAAGCTGCCAGTTGCCGACAGACGAAGGCTTGAGTTTATTCCTTTATGGTTTCTCAAATATCAAAATTTAGGAGTAGATTACTTTGTGTACATATATTTCTGGACCAAATGTCTGAGAAATATGTCTTCATCTCTTCTCTCTCGCATCTTTGTTGATTCTTAGTGAGATGATCTTCAAGCGCCCCCGGCCAGGGTTGTAGCCCGGTAACCCGCCACTGCTCTGGGCTAAACTTAACTCTTCACCGCGAGCGCCAGGCCAACCTTGTCCTTCTGGAAGACTGGTACAATAAAGTGAGTTTATAATTAACCACGAAGACAGCTGGGTAACACAGGTAACATCGCCATTAAAGTGTTAAACCATAGTTCTCAAAGGGTTAAATCGTCGTCTTCAGAACGTTAAACCATCCTTCTCAAGGGTTTAATCTCCTCAAAGGGAGTGAGTGAGTAAATGGATGTATGAGTTTGAGTCAGTAAGAGTGAGTGAGTGAGTCAGTCAGTAAGAGTGAGTGATTCAGTAAGTGTGAGTGAGTGAACGAGTCCGTGAGGGTGAGCGAGTGAGTCAGCCAATGAGAAAGTGAGTGAATAAATGACAACTAAAAAAATATATATATCCATAAGAGAAACTCTGCAGAAACACCGAAAAAAAAAGTTTACCGCCGCCAAAAAAGTCTTAGAAGTTTACCGGAAAATGAGAAGTTTACCGAAGTTTTACCGTTTGGTGTGTTGCTATACTTACTGTGATGGAAATACTAATTTCCCACCTAACATCTTGAAGGGCTTCTCATAAACTCGTGAAAAATACAACTTTCTAAAAAAATATTATAATGTCAGGTTCAAAAGTTTTATTCCCGAAGATTTTGGGCCGCGTTGAGTATCTCAATGACCTCGTACCCTGACTCACTCACTCACTGACCCACCGAGAGAAGTTTTCCTCCATTCCACGCAGACAGGACTTCCTTCAGACGGTGCTGCCGGGCGTAAGGTTTTTGCCCAACAAAGCACGAGTCAGAAAAGGACATACAGTAGATTGGAATCCACCCATTCTTGTCTTTAAAGCAACAACTATATATCCAGGTTGGGTAACACATTTAAAGCTTCATAATAACTGTAGTAAATCTCATAACAGTACTGATTTTTAATCACAGTTTTATAATAGCTCTAAGTAAAGTAAAAAAACAAATGTTCAGTGACCAGTACGATACGTTGGGATATGTTGGTCGTTAGCCAGTGACCCAGACGCGGCTCCACCTGACTCAGTGCTCGTAAAGCTATGATGAAGTGTGTGTGTGTGTCAGAGAAGTCAACACCCACCAGTCAACCTTTGTGGTAAACATTAACTTTACGGGATGATATAATTTCCCTCACTTGGAGATCACCAATATATATAATATATAGTGAAAGAAACACACTGAGTTTTCCCATCAGACAATATCAAATTATATTAATTCTTCTTATTCTTTGAAGATTAAATCACTATCTTATTTCAATTTAAGATTAAGATAAACTCCCCTTACGTTATCAAACCAAACCTAACCTAACCCTACCCTACAGGTGATGTTAGGAGATTTATTCAAGTGAAATACTCAAAGGTCCCTAATCTTCACTGGATCAATTCTTAAAAAAAAAATGTTTACACTGGCATCCACATAAACGAAGCATCTCACAACTCCCTACAATCACCTCTCGGGTCACAACACACAACCCAGTGACCCACATTCAAGTTAATTAAGCATACTTTGTCCTCTATTGATAAGATGAATTAAAGTGATAAGAGAAGGTGAGGGATTTTGACCTACATTTACAAAGTTGCCACTTGTTTGTGGGTAGTGAGAGGCGAGATGCATGCAGGAGGTGAATAATGATGTAGTTGTATAGAATAGGAATACCATGATAAGAATAAAGGGAATAAGAATGAATAATTACTTGAGTTAGTTGAGCACAAAATAGGAAAACTAACAAGAAGATGGAAGGAAGTAAAGGGAGAATAATAAACTTAACAATTGACTTCATTAACTTCATGTGTAATAATATTAAGTCATAGTATCTTCATGAGTCTTACCTGTCAGTATCCTAAAGCTGGGGGAAAACACACTAATCCACACCTTGTTAATGCCGATGAAAACATTCCATGCAAGTATTTAACACAATGTACTCAGGAGCCCTAACACACACACACACACACACACACACACACACACACACACATCTTACAGAATATTTATCAGGATGCCGATAGAGGCCATAATAAGCATGATGTCAGGGTCAAGGACGTAAGGCTGGTGGAGGAGGCGTTGGACAGCAGCCGCCACCAGGAGACCCGTCACCACCCACACGATCAACACGCTCACTACTGACCCCAGCACCTCTGGAGACACACAGTAGGGAGAGGAACTCGTTAGAGGATAAACTATAGACTACATTAGGATGTATTGGGTAGATTGCATCACTTTCAGGTATATAATATAAGAGATCCCAACACAAGGCAGAAACTCGTCAAGGAAATGAGCCAGATGACTTTTGATACATGATAAGTAAGCACATCCGGCTCCACACAGGGAAGAAATACCCCAGAACTACAAAAAAGATGTGACTGTAGGTGTGAACAATTCTATGTACTGTAGCTATGTTAATACAAGAGTGAGTGATCGTAGGTACAACGAGGAAAATAAAAGAGTTCATACACGTAAAATAATAGCTTGTTTCAGGTGTTATAACTCAACTCAAATTACTACTTATTTCAGCTGAGGGTTAAACACACTAAAGCTACCTGAGGGTGAGCTGAAATTAGTTTAGGTTTGGTTAAGTTAGGCTCGGATAGATTTGGTTCTCTTAAATTAGTTTAGGTTATATTACGGTATGTTAAGTTACGTCATATTACGTTAAATTAGGTTAGGATATGTTAAGTTAGGTTAAATTAATATTAGGTTAGGTTAGATTAAATTAGGTTAAATTAGATTAGGTCAGGTAAGATTAAATTCTGTCAGAGTTGATTAGGTTAGACGAGCGTAAGGGTGACTAATCTTCAGGTGATCCACACAGAAGCACAACTTAAAAAATGCTCACACCATAATATTTCCTCTGCCACCTATATTTCCCATCTTCCTATTACCCAGTTTCCTGGTGTAAATGAAGTTAAGCCTAGATCCTCTTTGCTGGTAATTACAGTAGTCAGGTAAAGAAACACACCTGTAGGAAAAAACCTCTTGAAGGTGTAATTGGTTTATGAGGTGTTTTTAGGGGTTAGGGTAATTCTTCCTGTCTGTATATCCGAAAGAGGTTTTTATGCCTCTGTGTGTGTGTGTGTGTGTGTGTGTGTGTGTGTAAAAATAATAATAATAATAATAATAATAATTAACGGCTTATTGAGAAAGTTTTGCAGCCCAAAGGCTGAAAATATACATTAGACAAAAATGACTTATTACATACAAAGACATGGGGTGGGTGGGTCGCTTAACAAAAACTTTCATTACTGAAAGGAGAAGGAACATGAATTGAGCATACAAATTATTATAGTTGGCAGCTGATGGTCCGGGCTGGTCTCTTGCCATACTGTGTGAGGTCACATGGCCTCGTGGTGCAGTGTTCTCGTCCGTAGGTGTTGCTATGAAGGATCTCACGGGGTCATGGAGACACCGAGTGGAGTGGTTCAGTAACTCGTCCGTAGGTGTTGCTATGAAGGACCTCACGTGGTCATGGGGACACCGGGTGGTGTCACAGTACCTCACCCTGCTGGGTGGTGTTGTTTTATCTCGGAGTCAGGTGTGAAGCCGACCCACTGCTGTTCCCAGGGTGGACTGATTAGCACCTCCTGGTCAGAAGATGGTGGTCAGTTCCCAGGGGTGCTTATCTCACTGGTGGGTCACTGGTACTTTCTGGTGCTGAATTCACTGGCTTAAACACTGTTCATCACTGTTCAACACTGATCCCACTTCTTTCCGAAACGAAATTATCGCTTTTGATTATGTTGATATCCCGGTGGTGAGGATGGGTCGGGGAGAGGGACTTAGGGAATGGGCCGAACATGGCCAAGGGGGGGCCGCCTGGTAGGGAGGGTGGTCAAGGATGTAGTGTGTGTGTGTGTGTGTGTGTGTGTGTGTAGAGGTGTTTGTATGTGGAGGGGTCTTTATGCGTGTGTTAGGGGTTTTTTGTAAGTGCGTGTGTGTAATAATAATAATAATATTATTGATTAATTAATTAACGGTTTATTTAGAAAGACAGTAACCATGGGGTGAAAACAAAAGCTCTCCCCGGCGGGGAATCGAACCCCGGTCTCCCGCGTGACAGGCGGGGATACTCACCACTATACTACCGAGGAATATATATAATTTGGGTGAGGAAAAGTACATATTTGTGTGTGTGTGTTTGTTTGTGTGTGTGTTTGTTTGCGTGTGTGTGTGTTCCTGGGTTTGTTTAATAAGTGGGCCTTTATATATCTCTATATTAATTTATCCAACGTCAATACAAGAATACCAACACGAAAATACAACAACACAACACTACGAGACCAGTAAACCACCACCAACAATAACTAAAAAAAGTATTGAAGATAAATGTCCCTAGACGAGTACAGAGATTCCCGAAACAAAAACACATGATTCGCTAATCCACCTCCAGCGGGATACATTCAACTCCGTGACCCGAATACTGATTGGCAGACCTGTGTCCATCAAGGAAGTGGAGGGGAGGGTAGTGGAGCGGCGGGTAGTGTGGGGGAAGGTAGTGATCATAGTGGAGTGGAGGGTAGTGGAGTGGAGTGGAGGGTAGTGGTCTGCAAATGAGGGTCCTACTACCCTTCTCTCCTTGTATTTCCCCTTCTCTTCCCTCCTTTCCCTTCTCTCTTCTTCTTCTTGTATCTTCCTCTTTCCCTCTTCTTTATCCTTACGAGTACTCCCCCCTGTCCTTCTTCATCATCTTTTTTCCTCTACTTCCTTTTCCTACTTCCTCCTCCTCCTTCTCACTCTGTTGTCTAGACACTCATAATGAAGAGTGTGGTGGTAAAGGCTCCTTCCTCCACACGCACACACACACACACACACACACACACACACACACACACACACACAGATGGATCTCGAATACCCAGCCATTGTCTTTGAAAGGTAGGGCGGGATGGGAGCACGAATGAGGTGGTAAGGGGTGGAAGGGGGTGGGTGGGTAATACTGGTTTCACACAGAGCTGACACGGCACGACTGTCCGGCCACGGCACGGTACGACTGTCCGGCCACGGCACGGCACGATTGTCTGGCCACGACATGACAAAGCGTCGTGTCTAGTGGTTGCGTTCACATTGGTGCTACACGACACCACAGATCATGGCAGTTAGTATAGCAATGCAAGAAGATTTTTATTTATTCTACTGTATCTCACTAACCCCGGAGCAAATGTACTTATATATCCCACCTTGCTACTGTATACAAACAGTATATTACACCCGTGATATTCAGATCATTTAAATTTTCCTCCCAACGTTAATCCACAACTCCTCTATTGCTGTGTTTCTCCATAATGAAGTCTTCAATTATTACCTTCCTCTCATGCACGAGTCAGATCAACCTGACTTCGCCTGACTCCTGGTGAAGTGATGGACTCGGCATATATAACAAGAACAAGTTCTGAGGCATTATCTCTGCATCACACTCAGCCGTCGTCACCTTGTGGAGTACGGAGTGTGACTGGCCTCGGCAGAACCAGACATGACCTTGGGTGTTTTTGTCGCTCGTGACGTATGTGGTGTGAAACTAGCCGAAGGGGGTGGGAGTGTGAGGGTAGTGGTGGTGCTAGTATGAGGATGGTGGTGATGGTTGCTATTATGAGGGTGGTTGTGGAGAGGGCTACTAGTATGAGGGTGGTGGAGGTGGTGAGGGCTACTAGTATAAGGGTGGTGGAGGTGGTGAGGGCTGCTAGTCTGAGGGTGGTGGAGGTGGTGAGGGCTGCTAGTATGAGGGTGGTGGTGGTGGTGAGGACTGCTAGTATAAGGGTGGTGGAGGTGGTGAGGGCTGCTAGTATGAGGTGGTGGTGGTGGTGGTGAGGGCTGCTAGTATGAAGGAGGTGGTGGTGAGGGCTGCTAGTATGAGGCTGGTGGTGGTGGTGAGGACTGCTAGTATGAGGGTGATGGTGGTGAGGGCTGCTAGTCTGAGGGTGGTGGTGGTGGTGGTGGTGGTGAGGGCTGCTAGTCTGAGGGTGGTGGTGGCTAGAGTGACGGTGAACTGGGTTATAGAATGGAAAGAAAAGGGAATAAGAAAAGTGTGGCAATAAGGCGAATAAAGAAATAAGGAAATAATAGACAAACAAAATCCAGAAGAAAGGGGAATAGAAGAGGAACAATAGCCTAATGAATGTGAGGATGGATAGAGTCTTCTGGGATGGATAGCAGGGGGTCTTAGATGATGAAGGGAGAGGTAAAGGAATAGGGAAAGAATACACATAGGTTGAAGGAGAAGAGGGTGTAAAGGGGGAGAGGGGGAAGTTATGGATTGTTGAAAAAGGAGAAGGTGTGGGCAGGTGACGGGGTAGTGGAGTGGAGGGGGGTGTGGGTTGGATATGGAAGTAAAGAGTTGGGGGGAGACGGAGAGGGAGAGGGGAGGTAAGGGGAAAGGATGTGGAGGTGAAATACGGTTATTTGTCTCGGGGCATCATTGTTGTCAGTCTCGTGCTTACTCTCTGTACTCTTAAAGGAAATACCTTAACCCCGACCCTCCTTTATCCCGACCCTCCTTTACTATAAACAAAAAAAGGACTTTAACCCGATTCTCCCTACACCTTACTCTATAGACAAGGACAATACCCTCACTCTCATTTAGTCTAAAGAAAAAAAAACATGACCTCCCGACCCTCCCTACTCTAAGAGAAAGGGACATTTCTCCGCTGACCCTAATTTACACGGAGAGTGAGCCACATAATCAGGAAAAGAGCAGGAGGAGATTGAAGGGGTAGTAGTATCGGGTGAGTCTCTCTACCAATGAACAACTAGAAGCGTGTAGAAAGAAGGTGGAGAAGGAGGCGACTGGTTGAGGCCAAAGAGTAGAAAGTTACATGTTGGAATCCACGATTTACCTGTGCGTCTTAAGTCACCTGTTCATTAGTTTAGATAGCTGGAATTGGACTCACCTGCGCGGTAGTAGCCAAAGCTCATGGATCTGGAGGGAGGGCGGCGCATGAGGCAGATGGCCAAGAGGGACACAAGGAACCCGCAGAAGTCGCTGAGGAGGTGACCAGCGTCGGATAACACCGCCAAACTGGAGGAATAGTAACCCCCGACGTACTCCAGTACCTGCACAGGGAGGAGAGGGAGGTGCAGTGAGGTGGAAGATGAGCGAGAAACAGATGGAGATAGAGAGACAGACAGATGAAGAGAGAGACACAGATGAAGAGAGAGAACATGAGAACGAATTCACTTGTTTGATGAAAGAATCCGTAAATCAAGACCTACGGTATCTCTCCAACCACAGCAACTACCAGTACTGCTACCACTACTACTACCACCACCACTACTATCACTACTACTACTACTACTACGACCACCGTCACCACTACCATTACTATCACTACCATTACCGCCACTATCACCACCACCACAATTATTATTACATCTACCATCACTACAACTGCTACCACCACCCCTATCACCACCACCCCTACCACCACCACCCCTACCACCACCACCACCACCCCTAAGTCACAAAAACACACCACCTCTCATCGTTTAAATTATATAAACGCTCGTAAACTCCCCGCCACCAAAAGCCCCTCGACCCAAACAAATACGATTTCATAAATTTTACACTAAACGTCCCAATTAGCGAAGACCCTCGTTGGAATTGTCTCATTTAACGTCGAGATAAATTCGTTAATTACTGAAGGATTATCGGATTGTAGATTTCTTTAATTGAGGGAGGATGGAGAAGGTGGGAGGGCCATTGTTGTGACGTAAGATGTTTTGACTGAGAGAGAGATAGGGTATAAAAATCGAGAGAGAGATAAGAAAAAAAGAAAATTATAGTTGTAAAGAAAGAGAGAGATAGAGAGAGATTAAGAAAGGGAGAGGGATGAGTAGAAGGTAGGATATAAAGGAAAGGGAGAGAGAAAGAGAACGTGTTAGAAAGAGTGGAAGAGAGAGAGGATAGATAAACATGGAAACTCAAACAGGGGAGCTGAAACAATGTGTATGCCTGTTAGTCTAGAAATGCCTATGCGTGTGTGTGTGTGAATGTATATGTATGTACAGTGGATAAAGGTACAATATGTGTATGATTAGCTTTCATCATCATGCCCCCCAAGGAGAAGACGGGTCATCAACAATACGTCTAGGTAACAATACTGTTGAAAAGGAAGACAAAGTATGAGGCATCTTCATTCTTCGCCTCCTGGTATTCCGGTGGCCTCTTGTTATTCAATGGTCGGCTCTTCTTACTGTCTGGGTCGGGGATTCTCATAAAGTTCGTACGTTTGTTTAATTTATCTCTTAGGACAGTCGGTAGTTCACTTTTAGAGATTATTGGACCCTGTGTTAAAGAGTCTAAGGATTTTGCTGGGTTGTTTATCGTTCTAACAGTAGTTACGAAAGTCAGTAATCCGTCAGATTTTCCCTCTTAAAGTAAATTGATATTACCCCACTTACCGAGGTGATAAAATCTATTCACTAAATATTTGACTATATATATATTATGGAAAAATAAAATGTGAGTCATTATTTATTAAAGATTTAAGTACACATTATTACAAACGTTATTGTGTCCGTCACTCTCAGGCTTGGTATGGATGGAGGCTTTACTCAGGTGGCCATACAGACGTGATATGCCGACAACCACACTGGCCATTCCCTCCCTACCTGTAGCTGCCCTGTTGACTTAACATGACCTCCCCCACCTTGGCAGCCTTTCATCTGAGGACAATCACAGTCACTGGAACAACAAACGGTGACGGCGACCTCAATTGTGTCAGGTTAAATGAGTTGAGTGTAAGATTGGCACTTGTGGTTCCATATTAAAGTGACTTTAAACAACAACCAGTGGAACTTTGACCTCTTAGACCAAAATCCCCATGGCTGTTATCAGTGTCATTTTAACATATAAATCACATGTCATTCCCACACTCAACTCAACCAGACACAGACCTGGGTACTCGGATTATTTACTTCAGACTATCTCAGAAATATTGCCACGAGTGCTGTTGAATGTACTGTACGAGGCTTCACTTCTGTAGGTGGGTCTCAGCTCCGGGTCGTGGACTTTTGTTCTCCACAATATTGCGCCAAGACTCCACAGTAGATGAAATTGATATATTTAGTCAGAATAATACAGATAGAGAGTGAACAACAACAACAATATTGATATGGTTGAGCCCTTCGAGTGTTGCAGCTCTTGAAGTTACGTAAAGAAAATGTATTGAATAATATAAAATGTCATCTGGATTACAACTAATATAATGTAAGGTTAGGTTAAGTTGGGTTAGATCAGCGTCAGGGTGGTTAATATGTAGGTCAAATAAGCGGAAGGGGTGTTAATCTTCAGGCGAGGCGTTAAATATCATAAGACAGAAATATATCACAACACACGCCATGAAGACAAGACTGGGGGTCTTCCTGTACTTACCATGAAGACAAGAGAGAGGACAGTGGCAACGGTCAGCTTGAGGGTGGCCTTCTGGTCCTCGGGGGGCTCAGTGATGACGTCGTGGCAGTGGGTAGAGGAGGAGCTGGACGCCCTACTGAACACCTGAGATAGAGGAGGTGGGATGAGGGAGGTTGTGTGTGCATGTGTAAGAGGGTTTTGTGTGTGTGTGTGTGTGTGTGTGTGTGTGTAAGAAGGTTATATGAGATCAATAGTATATCCAGGGTACAAGGGTTGTGTGGGTGGGGATTAACTTCGTCGCGAGTTTGTGTAAGAGAACCTTCAATTATTATTGTTATTATTATTATTGTTGTTGTTATTATTAGTGGTAGTAGTAGTAGTGATTTTTCCCAATGAAATGGCCTCCAACCTCCCATTATAGCCATACCTTTTCCACTTTTGTTACTTGACTTTTCTAAAACAAAAGAATCTGCCTTAGCTGAGTTAGTTATACCGCAGATCTACAGTATGTGGCTTTCGGTGACTGTTGCCCCTTAGTCTATGTCTGCAACTGTTGTTGGTTTAGGAGCCAAAGAGAAGGATAGGCGACAACTCATCCAGGCCACAACGTAACTTCGGTGCTGCTGCTTCTGTTCTCATAATACCTCAGCCATTCTGGAATAGAAGCACTTTGCGCTTGGTCCCATCCCGCCAGATGTTGTGAACACCAGAGGAGTGAAGCTGTCCTGGTCGACGTTCTGGATTCTCTTTGCTACGCTGTTCTTTACGCACTCGTCCCTCCTGTGTGCAGCGTCGAGAAACAGGTCACGGTGACATGTGGCCAAGGGATCGAATATCCTGATATCAAAGAAGGTTCGCTGTCCCCTCGTCCATAATCCTCGAGTAGTGACGTCCACACGGGTTTCGTTAGTTGTGTTGGTAGTCCGGTGAAGGAAACAGTCTTTATCCAGTGGGAGGAGGGTTGGTTCCACAGTGACGTCGTGGCATATATCCTTCAATATATTTGCTGTGAGGTCCCTTACTTCGTCGTGCCTCTTGCAAACACACACACACACACACACACATTGGGCAGGTATGCCTTCCACTGGCCAACTGTGCCTCAGAGTAATGGCGTCAGTGAATTCTTGTTTATTAAGGCTGAAGCCCTTTGCTTTTACTGGTAAAGTTATTGGCCAGCTTGAGGCGCCCACCTTCTGTGCAGTGGCAGATTTAGGTATACATATCCCCACCAATGAGAAAATTTGCAATCCAAAATCAAAAGAAGCATTGCATAAATTTTGTTTTATAGATAATGAAAAAAAAATTATTGGTGTCTTGAATCCACAGTTTTCTCTATTTATTATCTAATTATAGTGGCAGGAAAAATATTTGAAATTTCGAGTTTTAACCTTTTAAATCAAAGTAAATACATTTCTGACAATAAAAAAAAAATACTTTTCTCTGCTTAAAGGGAGCTTCACTTGTCACCCTCTCAACCCCTACTGGGGATTCTTCCCTCTGGACCCTCGCAGGGAACTCCGCCACAGACACCCCCCCAACCCATTTAAAAAACCTAGATCCGCCACTGCTCCTGTGCTTCCTTACCTCCCTCTTCACGATCTCTGGCAGTTGTTGCATCAGTTGTTGATTTTTTTCGCTTTGGGTGTGTTGCCGTTCTGTCATAATGGAACGTCGAATTTTGCATAGTTCGTTGGTGTCGATATCACTTGCGGCATTTTGAACTACTATACTCTCATTGAGAACAATATTGACCTGCCTGAGCCAACTGTGAACCGAGCCCCTCTTTAGTTTTGCAATTGTTGCGATGCAAGATGAGATAAGCCTTCAGCGACAGTGGTAAGAGTCACAACCAATATTCACCAACATCCTGTGAAATTCATGTTCCCAGTAACCCAGTATGGCCCCACCAAAGTCACGGTAGACCAAGGAGGAACACATGCCCTGCCCTCCCCTGCCCTGCCCTGCCGGACTAGTAGTAGTTGTAGTGATATCCTGTGTATAGCTTTTTATAATAATAATAACAACAATAATAACAATAACCCAATAGCCTACATAGGTGTACTACTCTACTCAGAGGCACAATAAAACACACACTAATATAAGACTTGTATAAGGAAAGTAAACCTATATTAATACCAGGAAATTATGCCAGGTATAGCTTACTAATTCCTTTGTGTTTCCTACAGGAGATCCGTAGTAATAGCAAAAAAATGGGGGCCATGCCTGAGGGAAGACTGAAAGAAAATTAATTATCTTTTGTATGTTTTTCATTCTAATTCCGAAAAGAACGGCTCAGGGTTTTTGATAATATATTACATTTGAGCTCTCTCTCTCTCTCTCTCTCTCTCTCTCTCTCTCTCTCTCTCTCTCTCTCTCTCTCTCCTGTAAGGTGGATAGAAGGTAAAGTGCAACCCTAGGCAATACAGATACAGGTGACTGTACCCTAATCCTTTTTTGGTAAACAAGGAGGGAGAGTCGCCAACAGTGTACTCGACCGCCTTCATTTCCCCAGCTGTTAAAAATAAGTTTGTTTGTTTTTTTCAGCTGGAAGGACTAGAGGGTGCCAGGAGCGTGAATAAGTTACCCATAGGACATGAGATGAGTGTTGTATTCACTCGTCCATCCACGTCGACTCCGTAAGGTAACTCATCACATATCCCTCAGAGTTTAAATTTTTGAAATCGTGTCAAACATTTTCATTAACTCTTGTATCTTCATCTTTTGGGGATATTTATTTCCTAGAAAGTCATAGAGCAGAGTATTTTAATTTCCCCGTCGATTTAGGACTCCTTCATCCTACAGGTTATTCTGAATTAAAGAAAGAACAAGATTGATTGTATATACATTTTGGAACTCCACCTCCCATCAGCACAGTTTGAAGGAAGTTGTATTGTCAACTAAAATATTTCTGCACCCCTGGGATTGACTGTGACCATGTTCATTTGGTAAGGTTGATACTTCTGATTGCGTGATGCATTGTGTAACCAATATGATGTATTCCGTATATCACGTATAGTTAATGCAGAGAAACCTGCAACTCTAGAAGGCAGTGCTATCAACATGCGCCGTAATTCATGAGTGTTGTTCAGAGTTCTTGGTCCGGTGTGTCATATTGTATCACATCGTAAGGGTACAGATTTTTTTTTGTTGACTGTACATGTACTATGTTCCTAGGGGGTAAGGCAGAAATTTTTATAAAAGTACAATACTCTGAAGGCGAGGTAGCAACTTGCGGATATGTACAGTTGCGGAAATGTGTTCCTACACCACCTGTGGTAACCCGTGTCTCCAAACGGCCAACCTATGACTTATAGCGAACCTATCCACCAATCACGTCCGTCGTTACACGACCAATACCCATTCCTTCTTAAATAGTGATACTACTTTTACAACGTTGCCATTTGGAGACACGGGTTACCACAGGTGGTGTAGGAACACGTTTCCGCAACTGTACAGGGACAAACACATATATAAGTACCCGCTCAGCAACTTCGTTAGATAACTACTTGGTCGCGTAACTAAAGCTGATCTCAGACGCAAACACAAGGGAGCATTCATATAGGGATAAAAAGTAAATTCGTGTAAGACTGAACAAAATCATAGCATCTGAAATTTAACTATTACGAACATAACAAGTACCATTGATTTATTGACTTGTATGTAAAATTTTCATTCAGGAATGTCTTACCTCCTCACTACTGCCACTTCCTGAACTGCTGAAGCTCTCTGAACGACTGCGAGGTTTCCACAGGTCGTAGGTTCCTTGAAAGTCAGAAAATACTTTGAAGTTCGGCGTCTCTCATCGAGGGTTTTAGCAGACATTGTAACCGAGACGATCCATCAGACGAGTGAGAAATTGATAAATATCAAGTAAAATAGTAATACAAATTTATATTGGTTTATCACACACATTTGTAGACAGTGTAGGTATACTGTTTAAACAATGATAAATAGTTAGTCCATGTAACTAAGGATAGCCTAAGAAGGACGTTGTTTATGTATGACCTGATTATCTGTTGGTCTGAGTCGTGTAGTTTGGTGCACTATGGTGGGCCACGGTGCAATAATCTTATAATAATTGGCACAACAGTTTATTGAAATAAAACAAATATTATACTTCATTACATTAGAAGATGTGTAATGTAATACAAGATGTACTGTAGTGTAGAGTGCTGTATACAGTACTCTTCCTGGCTTGGTGACGACGATGTATTTGGCTTTGGGACGCACGAAAACACAAAAAGTAACTGGAATGTAAATGTACTCACCCTGCTTGGTGGCGCCATTGAAGCTAGCTAGGGAGCTGCGCTTACTGGCTGAGCGGCTGGTGTATTGGGAGACATGGGAGTCGCCGCTGCCCTTCTGGCTACTCTGATACCCTCCACTATGCTCTAGCTCTGAAGGGCTTCTGTCAGCCTCCACCAGCCCCTGCTTCTCATCCTAGGAAGAAACACACTCTCTTACTACTGTTACCTGGTGATGCGACTGAATCGTGCCCAAAAACGTACAATTTATCTTGTAAATATCAAAGCGAGAAAACTTATTATTTATTGTTGTTTTTTTTTTCTCTTCACCATATCACTGCCTCCTGCCAGGTTCCTCAGATAGGTAGGTACTGTACGTTTATATGTAATCTTATGAACTCGTTTCCTCAGGATCGGGTGGATGGAACATGTGCTCTATACCAACACTCTGCACCTCCCGGTTAAGATGCGCGTCATTCGGAATTTTCGAAAAAATTAGAAAAGGCTAAATAATATATAAAAGAAAAGGCTCTCTTCAGCACCTTCGAGTCTCATGTGACTTGGGACACGTCGTGGCTACTGGTTGTGTACATCACGTTCTCCTCCGAGGTAAGATCAAGATATTTAATTTATTTTTATGATGAACCCAACAGTAAACATAAGTGTCACGAACTACACACCTAAACACAATCATTATCTCGTTATTTTATTTCGTTTTCAATTTAGATTTTAAAATAGAGACTGAAATACACTAAATAATGACTTAGTTAGGACGAACAGCAGTTTACTCGTATATATATATACACATATTTGGATGCGTTTAGGAGAGAAAAATCCCCTAACATGGAGTGTTTTGAACCTGACAATGGCCGAGATCACAAAACCAAAATCTAAATACGTGAGAATTCTGAAATAGACCAGATAAGAATATGGAATCTTTTCAAAGATATCGTCACTCTGACAATAGCTGGATTTGTTGTACTGTACAAGATTTTATAAACTTAATAACAGATGAAGGGAGAGAAGTCCTGAAAGCCAAATATAGCCGCGTTCCGAGTACCAGCGTTCCCTACACTGAGTGAACGCTGACCAGGGTGAAGACTGGGGATAAAGTTCTCGTCTGTATCAACATAACCTGAGGGGATGAATTAGTGGTCGTGTTCCTTAACTTTTTCGTCATGTGTCGCCCTTGTTGTTGCTGCTCAATTCTGGGAAGTTAGACGACTATGAGTCTTGATTCATGTACACCACACAGCCTGGAGGCTTACTTAGATGGTTGTGAGGAATTTTTATAGAGCAGGTTTAACTGTACGTATCCCCTGACGACCACCAATGATAAGGGTAACTATTGGATATAATGTTACCAGAACTCTCTCTCTCTCTCACTTATCACCTTCTCTCCCCCGTTCTGACTTCTTAACTCCCTCTTTTCCTCTCTCCATCCGGTTCCCCCTCTCCCTCCCTCACTCACACCTTCCCTCAACTCTCCGTTCCTCCCTACCTTCCCTCCCTGTCCTACATCACCCCACCTTCCCTTCTTCCTCCCTTCTTCCTTCCCTCCCTCCCGCCTTCCCTCCGTCCTTCCCTCCCTCCTTCCCTCCTTCCTCTCCCGCCAGATACTCACCACACAGATCCGTGTTGCCAGGTCAGGTAAGGTGCCATATCCTAGACCTTTCCTGCCTCTTCCTTTTAGCTTCTTGTTCTCAGACATCTCTTCTCCTCCTCCTCCTCCTCCTGTTGTCTCTCTGTCTGTTATCTTTTGTCCTGTTGTCTCTGTTGTGTCTGTTATCTCTTTCTCTGTTGTATCTTTCTTTCTTGTTTCCGTTGACTCTATCTCTTGCTCTGTTGTGTCTCTCCTGTATTTCTTTCTCTGTTGTTATTAGGTCTCTTTTTATCTCTTCTTCTCTGTTGCTTCTCTTATGTCTTTCTTTGTTAATCTCTCTCTCTCTCTCTCTCTCTCTCTCTCTCTCTCTCTCTCTCCGTTGTCTCTGTATTGTCGATCTCTGTTATTATCCCGTTGTCTCTCGTTATTTCTGCTCTCTCTCTCTCAGTTACTTCCCCGCTGTCTCTGTCATAGCCGTATTCTTTCTTTATCTCCCTTCCCTCTTGAGCTATACACCTGAGCCTCCGTATACCTGTTGAGAAAAGAAATTCATAAATGATCATGAAAATATTTATTTATTTATTTATTTTTATTTTTTTTATTTATTTATTTGTGTGTGTGTGTGTGTGTGTGTGTGTGTGTGTGTGTGTGTGTACTGTACCCAAAATACACAAAAGTAGACTTAACCCAGAAATCTCGTCCAACGTTGAGACCAGTTGAGGGACGAGTTTTTGTAAGTTACAGCTAGACTAACCTCTTTTTGTTCGACAGTTCTAGAGCAGTGTGGCACTTTCTGAATACCTGAGATGATATGTAACGTGTGTGTGTGTGTGTGTGTGTGTGTGTGTGTTGTCGTATATATTACAATGTATTACAATGCCTGAACTAAAACACCAGCTCATATACATATACGTTTGTGAACAATTACAATGAACTCTTTAAAAACAACCGTCAATTTAAGGAACCCAAAACAACAAAACGATATTGAAAACATCACTTGCTTATGTTTTGAAGATGATGTTTTTCTCAGTATAGTATAACAGAGGAATCAATACTGCTCTCTGCCGCCCAAACAGTCAATGCCGCGTCACCCACCAAACCGCCCATCAAGGTTTTATTGCCCGAAGGTTCCTGAAGTATTAGCTAATGAGAGTGTGTGGGTGGTGGTGGTGGCTGTAGAGGATGTGGTGGGTGGTGGTGGTGGTAGTGGGGGGTGGTGGGGGGGGGGTAGTAGCAGTAGTGTGGGAGTCCTGGAGGTTTTTGTGGTAACGATGATAATAGTGTTGGTTCACTACTCTCTCTCTCTCTTTCCACCCAGCTGTGTATGGGAACCTAAATATACAGTTGGGGAAGTGAAGGCGGTCGAGTACAGCACCGAAAAAAATCGCATAGTCTACAGTATACTATCCCTTCCCTGCCACCAATGGGCCCTCAAGACTATATGTGACCTAATTTCAATCTTATTCACGATCTCCAAAGACATAGATATGGTCTGAAGTTCCTTTTTTAGCCAAATTGTCAATATAGAACACGCGAATTTCTGGAACTTAACTGACCATTGGCAGTCCTAAGCATGAAACATTAATGGACCAACCCACAACACCAGCCACGAACACCTGACGACACCTTTCACTACACAGACCGACTCCCACATGTTTAGATCTGAGAGATCTTACCACCGAAGACACTTTTCCACATGCATCTTCTTCCCAAACAATCTGGTAACATCCTCAGTGACTTGCTTTCTGTATCCTATGAATTTTAGTCTCTCCTGTAGTGTCCTTGCCTCGCGTAGGAGATCATCAAGAGTCCCGTTCTGCCACATTGTCAGTCTTCTCTTCATTGCTGCCACATTTTCCTTGCACTTACTCCTTTCGTGTGTTCTCTGGCAGAATAGATGGAGTATTGTTGCCAGTATATGAGGAGCTAATGGGGCCAGGGAGCTGTCGTGAGTTATATCTTTAAAGATATTAAATTCAGCATTAAAGTGGGCCAGAAATGGGTATCTTGAACAGTTATTTACGGACAATATATATATGAGCCAATGAGCTGCAAGGGGGGTGGGGGCTTCTTTGCTTATTACCGTGAGCTATTGTCATGCGCTTAAAGACCTTAGGGTGTGTATATATATATATATATATATATATATATATATATATATATTACTGTTCTTTTGTTCTCTTTAAACATAGAACATTATCAGAGAGAACATTTGACTCTACTTTACTGCCTTACAAATAAGATGTATTTAAATGTTCCTGAAGGGATATTAATTTGTTTTTGTTTTAGTCTGCGAAAGGAATGATGAATCACTTGAAGATTAGACACTCCAACTTAACCTGCTTTAATTAATACCCTAATAATTACCTGAAGGGGTTAGGTTATGTTAGGTTAGGTTGAATGATATTAGGTTAGGCTAGATTATATAAAGTTAGGTCTTCTAAAATTAGGTAAGTTCAAGTTAAGTTAGGTTAGCGTTAATAAGCTAGGATGTTTATAATCATCAGGTGATCGTAAATTTTTGTTAGTATTACAACAACACTTGATGAAACTGTGTGAGGAGAGCGAGGAGGCTCAGCTGAAGCGTCAACTTACCTACAGTAAACCCGTTCAACAGGTTGGGGCTGGTATATGTCTGTCCAGGGTGCGGGCAAGTGTACTTAGAGATCACTGAAGCTATTTGTTACCTTTCCACGATCACTTGTTCCCTGGTTGAAAAGCCCCCGTACACTTGAAGTAATTAAAACTATAGCTGATCTTCGTTATATAAAAAATAAGGTATAATGATATTTATTACAGGTACACGGGAACTTTTTTTTATCATTATCTAGTATACAAATATTGAGATAGTCTTACCTTTAACGAAGAGACATTTTATTTTATCTAGGATGGTCTGGAGTTATGATCATAGTTCTCCTACTTGTATCCTAGTGACGGCATCAGCGAGGTAATGAACTTTTAGGTATGCGCTCCATGCTTCAGTGGCCGCTCAACCGCAAGACAAGTGTCGAGTGTTTCTCTCTCTTGTAGATGTAATTATTGCCGGGTTATGGAATGTTTATTGTCATGCTGGGCCTTTATATGAGCCGACGCTTTGGTTATAACACCTGGTGGAGTTGTTTACAAGTTCATCACACAACAGACTGAGGCCTTGATCACCTGACACCTGCCACTCACACGATTTAAGTTTGTTCATAAATGACTGGTTGTTTACATCATTAATCGCTTTTTGTGTTACTATTGTTGACACTACAACCCAGCCGCTCCGTTATAATTTAAAGCTGGACTATTGAGCAAATTAATTTGACACATTCTCGAAAATATCCTCCCCATTGCCCCCTTGAGGAACACCTGTAGGTCTCGTGCGGTCTTGTATGGTGTTGATGGCTGCTGTCACTAGTGGAAGCCGAGCTGATACTCTGGTAAAGACGATGACACAACGCTTAGAGCCTTAGATTATAAATTCATTTCTATAATCACTATACCTGTATATATTGACGCTTATAAGAGACTTAAACTAAACGAGATATTAGTTTTACCTCTACCTGCGTGACGGTGTGTTTACTGGGGATGTAGGAGATTAAAATGACTCGATGATTCCCTTGGTCAGCGAGACATGTCATCACTCAGACACTGAAGATAAACAATCTTCTCGAGTGACACAATTATTCGTGTATGAATCACAGTCTGCAAGGTCAAACGGGTGGTAGATGCTCGACGTCACTCTGGCTGGCTGCAGGAAGTCTTATACAGTAGGTTGTTCTTCCTGACGTACTGTACTGACATGAACTGATCAAAATGTTGGAGTGCACGATGACACAAACAGATGGTTAATGAGAGAGAGGACGGTGTGGGTCAGAAACGGACAGATTGACGTGGAAAATAATAGTTTCGTGACCGAGAACGATACATAATGACATATATTACTTAATTGAGCTGTGTTATCACCAAACATTGATAAAGTACAGGAGCTGACTGTTTAGCCCTGTAAATGTATTGAACGCATATCATTATTTCTAAATCACATGTAAGTTTGTATAGTTTCAGCCACCGGCTGCAACTCTATTATTAAACCGTTTATTATTATTATTATTATTATTATTATTATTATTATTATTATTATTATTATTATTATTATTATTATTATTATTATTATTATTATTATTATTATTACACCATTTAGTCGTATTGTAAACATTAAAGGAATTCCAATGCCTATACTGTACATGTTCAGTGAAACCCATATCTTTCCCGGTGATTTACTGATGCACATCACATTACTCTTTGACAACACCAATGGCTTCACATGAAGATTAAACACCACATGTTTTTTTTCATCTGATAAATAAACACCCTAACCTAACCTAACCTAATCTAACACCCTCCTCGACTGTAGTGCCCTGCAGAGATGAACCACAACTGAGGCGCGTGAAAACAAGCTCGTGTGAAGAGAGCCTATAGGCACATGAACATTTCTAGCACGCTCGGCGTGATTTTTCACGCTGCTGGGTGGCAGTACAGGCGTGCTGTGAGGGCGCACGCAGCGTGAACTTTTCCCTCTCATGCCCGTGTGAAGGGATCCCATTGACCTCTATGTATTTCTAAACCTTGCGTGTTTTCATGCGGCGTGAAAACACGTTCGTGTGAAGGGAGCCTTAAATTTATCCTTGACGGAATTTTTACCCATGTCCTCACACTATTTTGAAACCTTTATATCATTAATTGTATATAGAATCCGATTCCATACAGTTAGCCTGTAATAAGGAATTCACCGTCACCGAGGCGAGTTCCATCTTTTCCATGGTCTCTCTCTCTCTCTCTCTCTCTCTCTCTCTCTCTCTCTCTCTCTCTCTCTCTCTCTCCTCTCTCTCCTCTCTCTCTCTCCCTCTCCCTCTCTCTCTCCCTCTCCCTCTCCTACTACCTGAGAGGCAATATGGGTCGACGTCCTCACTTCGGGGAACATCAAAACACTCATTCGATTCTCAATGTAAAGAGTGGGTGTCGACGGTAGCTTAGCGGTGATGTAAGAGTGTGTGTGTGGTTGTGTGTGGGAGTGTGTGGTTGTCTGTGGGAGTGTGTGGTTGTGTGTGGGAGTGTGTGGTTGTCTGTGGGAGTGTGTGGTTGTGTGTGGGAGTGTGTGGTTGTCTGGGAGTGGTTGTGTCTGGGGGCGTGTGGTTGTGTCTGGGAGCGTGTGGTTGTCTGTGGGAGTGTGTGGTTGTCTGTGGGAGTGTGTGGTTGTGTGTGGGGTGTGTGGTTGTCTGTGGGAATGTGTGGTTGTCTGTGGGAGTGTGTGGTTGTGTGTGGGAGTGTGTGGTTGTGTGTGGGAGTGTGTGGTTGTCTGTGGGGAATGTGTGGTTGTCTGTGGGGTGTGTGGTTGTGTGTGGGGTGTATGGTTGTCTGGGAGTGTGTTGTCTGTGGGAGTGTGTGGGTGGGGAGTGTGTGGTTGTGTGTGGGAGTGTGTGGTTGTGTGTGGGGAGTGTGTGGTTGTCTGGGGTGTGTGGTTGTGTCTGGGAGCGTGTGGTTGTCTGTGGG